ATTCTTAAAACTGCTTCGGCTCCTTCAGAGAGCAGAAGTTGGAGTGTTTGGGTGAAAGTGTCGAAGTGATTCTGGTGCTCTAATCTCCTAGAATAAGTTTTTTTAGAAGCTGGGGGTGACCAGCTTCTGAAAACTGATTCCGATACTGCTTGTGCTTTAAAAAAGAAGCAGAAGCAGAAGCAGAAGCAGAATCAGTTTCAAACACCTCCATAGTTAACACAATCATCTGATCTTCTTCATCCAAAACCTTGAAATTTTGAGCAATGATGAAGAGAATCAAATCCACAAAAGTCTCTCTTAAGCGAAGTCAATGTTAGAATGAATGCATGAATACTTTAATCTTTATATTGGAATTATCTGGAGAATTAACTGAGCGGAAGCAAGCCTGACTCCATTGGAGATGAGCTTTAGAGATCCGGGAGATGGAGACTTGGGTTTACGTCTTCTAGTTGATACACACCCTCGGGATTATCTCTCTAGCGATGGGATGCAGAAAGACGGAATGACGTGTTCAACTAGGGACCATAACCCCTCTATTTATAGAGAATGCTTAACCCTAATCAGTCCATCATTAATTTGGTTAAGCCCATGAGTCTCTACACATTTGAGCCTTATATCTTATTAGATAACTTATTAGCCCACTTAAATTAATATCCATAGGACCACTAATTTTTGAGCCTAAACATAAGATAGCATATAACATACAATTAAATCCGATAAATAATATACTGTGAATATTACATGTAGTATAAGTCCAATAATCTAACGGTCAACTCATTCATTTGCCCAAAAACAAGTCTTAACCCATTGCCATTACGGAAGCGGTAGAACTATTAGTACCTTAGCTTGATTTAATGATTTTGATCGGTAGATTCATCTATTACTAATTGTAATAAATACTTTTGTCATGTCTTTGAAAACTTTCACGTAGAGTCTTGTGACTACTAATGACTTGAATTCAGACTTTTTTAGTTTTTTAGTTTTAACTATGCCAACAGTTAGAAGATAAAAAATATCAATCATGTCGCAAATAATGTGAGAAGTACCTTATGGGCTGATGATATCATTGTGACACTTTCAAAGAGGAGGTCATAAGTTCAAATCACATCTCAGTTCAAGTATGTTGGTTTTACCAAAAAGATACTTTAATAGCTTAGAAAGATTTGCCCCAAAAGAAGTGTCTCTATTATAATATCGGAAGGTAAAATGTGAAAAAAAAATCGATCAAACACATATACTACACCGTACATGTTCCTGCAGATACAATAGCTGAAGGACAAAAATGACAAAAATTAAATAATAAAAAAAACAATTATATTTTTAATTTTACAACAAATCTAAGAACGTATATTAAAAAAATCTAAGAGTAAAGATAAAATTGGCAAAATTGGCATAAACTTCTAAAGTTACGACTCTAAATTATTTAAAAATTTAACTCACAACATATTTTATTAATAAAGTACTCCGTATTTTTTGAGGATATTAATAAAGTATTTAGAAAATACTATGCTAAACAAATCAAATCAGCCGACTTTAAAAATATATCCAAAAAGATAAGGTTAACCTTTTTATTATTTGGTTAAAAAGCATAAGTAGAGAGTTAGAGACAACTTGATTGCACCACCTCAATATCAAAACTTCATTTTTTGTTATAATAGCCACCTCAAAGAGGAAGGGTCCGGTTTATCTGATCACCTACCTACTCACTTTCTTTTATGAGAGATTTCAAGTTCTATATATACTTACTTAATAGAAGAGTTTGATCCGAGTTTATCCAGGCCCTCAAATCCCTGGGTAAAAAAGAAAAATATACGGAGTAATGGTCAACCATTAAGCACGTATTTGGTAACTCCGACTAGCTAACACGTAGATTCAATAAAAAGATTGAATTAAGAGATTTTCCAAAATAGGAGTAAATGAAGTTTGAAATTTCAAAATATGACTATTTGTTTTTATTCCTTAAATGGGACTAAGGTTATTTTTACTTGGACTGTAATTCATCCTAGACCAGATCAGATCAAAACAGACCAGACCAGACCAGACTAAAACAGACCAGACCAGATCATATTCTATTATTATTATCATCATCATCATCATCATCAACATCATCATCATCATCATTATCACCATCTCCGTCGCCATCATCATCAGCATCATCATCATTATCATTGTTATGATTATTATTACTCCGTATTAGTTTTATTACTATTATTTTTTGTAATTATAAATGAATAAAATATAATTATTTATGGATTATAATCTATATAAAAAAAATCTTTATGCAAAAAATATAAAAATAAAATTTCAGACCAGACCAGACCAGACCAAAACTGACCAAACCAGACCAACAAATTACAATCCAAGTAAAAACATCTTAACATGGCAGTATTTACTGTCATCTTGTAGCTGTGACTGCCAAATAGTTGCAGTACAGTGCATTTAACATGACATTATTTATTGTAATTAATGACAGTATTTTTCAATCATTACAATATTTTTCATACATGACAGTAATAACTCCTATTTTGGAAATTCCAATTGTCATTTGATCCTATTTTGGGTAATTTCCCTTAAATCTTTTAAAATTGGTAATGTTCTCACTAAAAGATTGAATTGACTATAACTACCGAATTATATAAAATTATATCAAATAAATAAATAAAGTAATGTAAGAAAAATAGTTGGGATAATTTGAGTTTGCACCCCACTTTATAGTTGAAATTAGACTCTGCACTCCATTTTTGAAATCTTTAGTATTTGCACCCCAACCCCGTATGAAAAGACTAAAATGCCCCTCAATTAACAATTTTGTTGGCCTTCAACATATTTCTGATCAAGGGGCATTCTTGTCTTTTCATATGGGGTTAGGGTGCAAATACTAAGGATTTCAAAAACGGGGTGCAAAGTCTAATTTCGACAATAAAGTGGAGTGCAAACTCAAATTATCCCAAAATAGTTCTCGTCAAATTCAATCAATCTAATCCAAAAAGCAATTATGACTTTTCTTTTCAATTACTCTTTTCGTCCCATAGAAAGGCTCCTGTTTTCTTTTTTTTGAATGTCTAACTTGAAGGTTTTCATTTTTCATTTTAGGAAACTATCAATGTTAAATGACAAATTAATCATTAAATATTTTAAATAATACATTTATAAAATCACAGTTATCAACACTAACCCCATCATATTATATACCTATTAAACTTATTTCTCAAAATATACTCAATTTACCTTGTTTAATTATTGTCAACGAGACGAGTGAAATAAAAAATTATGGATTTATTGCATGTTTTGATAACCATATGTCCTTACCTTCTAAATGTTATACGGAGTACTACTTGATAAATCTATAAAAACTTCTAATTGTATATTGGGTGGCATGCATGATAATAATTAAGAGCTTTTTAAAAATAAAAAATCTTTGTCTAAGAAGCTATATTAAGTAGCTTCCGAGAGAAATCTATAAATTTTAGTTTTAATTAACTACAAGTACTTCTTATTCCAAATAAATTAAACAATTAGTTTTAAAGTTTGTTACACTTTTAGTTTGGGAAGTATATAAAAATGGGCTACATATTCCTTATTTGGTAAGTTTTTCTTTTAAAAATACTCTATTACATTTACATTTTTATACTTTTATAGAAATTACTTCAAATAGGATTAAAACTGGCAAAAACTCATAATATGACTTACTATGTTTTTCTTTTCAAAATAGGACCATATTAATCCTATTTGAAACATACCTATTTTTTCATTCCATTCTTACCCTTTAAATATGAGTTAATTAAATGTTTTATTCATAATAAATTCGAAAATAATTCAAGAATTCGTAGAAAAATAATTAAAATATTTATAAAATATTTATAAAATAAAATATTAATTTTTTTTTAATTTTTTTATTTTTAAAAATAAATAAAAATTAGTAAAACTCGATAAAAAAATAAAAAAATATGGATGTCTTTCCCACCGCCTGTACCACATCCCTGCACCACCATCTCCGACCGGTGAAAAAAATGCAATTTTTTCTAAAAGCTGCCATTTTTTTCCTGAAAATGCCAAAAACATGGCATATTTCTCGTTGAAAATGCTAACATTTTCATTGTTTTCTGCCATAAATATGACATTCGTAATGAATTTGACATTTTTTTCCTTGGTGACTGGAGGTGGTGGTGCACAGGCGGCAGAGGCGGCGGTGAATTTTATTTAATTTTTTTGAGTTTTTTATTTTGTTTTTTTGGAAATAAATAAATAAATAAATTATTATTATCAAAATATTTTTATTTATTTTTAGAATTTTTTACGATTTTTTATTATTTTTTATTATTTTATTATGAATTAAATAATAAAATTAGTCCTATTAAAATATAGTTTATTTTTTGGTCCTATTTGTGCAAAGTAAGTGACTTTTAGTCCTATTTTGATAATTAACCCTACTTTTTATCTATTTTTATACTTTTACACAATATCTGCTACTTTTTATGATATTTATTATTCGTATTACTTTTTTTCTTTAATTATGTATCAAACCTCATGTACTAATGTTTAAAATATAGATTTTTTTTTTCAAATTTAACCTATTATAGTATTTATTCTGTTAAGATCAATATCTTTAAACTAAGATGAGATTCGAACTTGTGACTTTCTTTTGAAAAGTGTCATAATATCAAACTACGGGACACTTGGCAAAATATAGAATTAATACAAAAAAATAAAAACTATTAAAAAGATTACAAAAATATAACTTGATTGTGTCAAACATAAGTTAAGAAAAAATATGAGATGGACTCAAAAGTCTCAAATTAAACTTGTCGATTGTAATTATGACACACGGGTCCCTTAAGTGAAGCTTTTTGTAAAGATGACCCGTTTTACACGCAGTTCATGAAACTAACCATGGTTAAAATTATTACTCCGTGTAATATTAATTTTAATCCAGAACGGTTAAACCCCACTCCTCTTCCAGTTTAAATATCAACGTTTCACAACCGCCAGGAATCCGTACTCCAAAATATGAGACAAAGATGATGATCGGAGAGAAATATCCCGCTGATCGTCAAGCTCCGGCATGTCCATTTCCAGATGTTCTGACGGTTGATGTCCATTCTTCCCTGAACCCTGCCGGTTCCGGCAACGGTAACGATGATTTCTCGTTCCCGCAAAACGACGCCGATCTTCAGACCCTGATGCGCTACCTGCCGTCCCAATCGAACGACGTTAGCGTGGGGTCCGAAGCCGATAGGGACGTTGACCTTCCCGTGGGCGCGTACACATGCGATAACTTCCGCATGTACGATTTCAAGGTGAGGAGGTGCGCGCGTGGCGGGTCACATGACTGGACTGAGTGCCCTTACGCGCATCCGGGGGAGAAGGCGAGGCGGCGGGACCCGAGGAAGTACCACTACGCCGGTGTAGCTTGCCCTGAGTTCCGGAAAGGTAGCTGCCGGAAGGGAGACGCGTGCGAGTACGCGCACGGCGTATTCGAGTGCTGGCTCCATCCGGCTCGCTATCGTACGCAGCCTTGTAAGGACGGGCTCAACTGCAACAGACGGGTGTGTTTCTTCGCCCACACGCCGGTGCAGCTGCGCGTGCTGAGCCCGAGGGCGGTGGATTGGGGCTCATCGTCTTCCGATTCGCCTCCCACGTCGCTGTTGGTGACGGCGGCCTTGCGTCAGCTGCTCCCTTCTTTGTCACCGAAATCGGGTATCTGGACCATTGGACGACCCGGAATTAGCAGTTTTGATCTGTGGGAGGGGGAAGAGGATGTGGGCAAAGAGGAGGCCCTAATGGAGAGGGTTGAGTCTGGAAGGGACATTAGGGCCAAGATGCTTGAGAAGATAGGGAAGGAGAATCCTCTAGACGGGCATGATCCAAAGTCCGACCCGTACCCGATGTAGTACGATTGTCCTAATCCTGACGTCGGGTGGGTCTCCGAGCTGGTTCAGTGAATTATTCTTTCTGTGGGCAATTTTATGAGAAACAAAAATTGTTGGAATTATCAATTAATTATTAAAATAATATGCGAAGCAGAGTAAAAAATGGGTTGAATTGACTATTGAGGAAGTTGAAGATCAGAGCGCATGAGAGGAAGGTTGGATCATGCACTAGGTTTGGTTATTCCTTAATTGTTTTTATTATTGTATATCACAGTCGATTTTAGTATAATACATACTACGTATATGTATTATAATGTAAATATATACGTAGTACATACAGAAAGAGATAAATTCTCAGGTCCAGCACCTCCCGGTCCAAACACCGTCCGAACACCGTCGTTTGGGGTGGTTCTCGGTGGAATTTTTTAATGAACTTTTTTAGCATGTTCTTCATCAACTCTAGTTTATCCATACCAAATTTCAGGTCAAAATCCAATCGGGAAGGCAGTCAAATAATTCGTTGAAGTTAACTGCGTTTTTCTATGTATAATTTGGCGCAGTTAACTTCAACAAATTATTTGACTGCTTTCCTGATCGAATTTTGAGCTGAAATTTCGTATGGATAAATTAGAGTTGATGAAGAACATGCTCAAAAATTTTAATCAAAAAATTTCACCAGGAAACCGCCCCAAACGGCGGTGTTCGGACGACGTTCGCACAGAAAAGTGCCGGACAGAAGAATGACTCTACATACATACATATATATATATATATATATATATCGCGTTTATTTTAATGTTTTATTGTTTGTAGTCTCACATTAATCTAAAGATAATTTGTTCATGTATAATCTAATAAATATCACTTGAGCATTAATTAATAATACTTTCATATCTAGTCTTAATTTTATCATTTTTTTTAAAATATACTCCTCTTTAAAATAATTAATTACTTATAAAATTGTTTTGCTCGATTTTCAGTAAATAAATTTAACTTGCATAAATTTTACTACGTACTATGGTTTCACTTAGTGGCAGGGTCAGAAAAACGGGTCAGGAGATCGAAACTAAACTTATATACATGATGAAAATGATGAATCGTTTTTAAACAATGTCTGAGTTGAATATTTCATATGCAGTTTAGATAGATAGGCATTCGTAGCAATAAGATATACTCCCTCCGTTCTCTAATACTTGGCCCTGTTTCTATTTTGGGATGTTCTCTATTAATTGTTTCCCTTTCCACTTTTGGTAAGTTTTTTCAAGAAATATACTCATTTACCCTCATTCTCTTTCTTATCTTTTCATTATCTTTCCTATTTTTACCTTTACACATAACTCACTACGTTTTTTATCCTACCCCTATTAATTCCTTCTTAAATCTTGTGCCAAAGACTATACTCCCATCTATTAGAGAAGAGAGTGAGTATTGTTTTTGCTCTGTTTCTGAGTCATCTCACGTAATATTGAATAAATTAGACCCTAACTTTAAAATTTGGGAAAAGAATCTATATTATGCATCAAATTTTGCTTATTTTACGTTTCGATAGTGCTGATTTTTCAGAAATAATAACTTTTTACTCGTAATGAGTTACGAGGGTCATAATATATCAAATCGAAGATATTTCAGAGCTCTATACTCTCAAACTTTCAGCGGGGTCGGGTGACCACCCTGACCTCCCAGCTCCGCCCTGGTTTCACTATTCTTAATTAGGGATGTCAACGAGGCAGATCGGGGACGGTTTTACATATAACTGTAACCATCCCGTTGGGTAATTTCCCCGCCCCGTAACCGCCCCATTAACCAATGGGTAATTTTTACCCAAACCATAACCGCCCCAACGGGTAACGGATAAAACTTCGGGTAACCGTGGGTAACCGCTTTATTAATTGAGTCATTAAATTTTGATATAAAAAATAATATTTTAAAAGGTGAAGAATGACATCGCCTAGACCACTCTACACTTCAGATACCACTTTAAAGATTCGTATATATCTACAAGACGAGAAAGGAAACAACTTAAATTAATTTGAACCTAAAAATACTTAATCTAAAAAATAATTAATCACTTAAAAAATATGATAATATTCAAATAAGACTATTTAAATGTATTATGAACTTTCATTTATACATTATAGTTAGTACATCTATTATCTATATATACACAATGGTAAGAAAAAATTTCATCTTTTAATAGTTATGAGAAAAATAATAGATAAAAATATAACTACAAATAAACGGGGCGGGTAATGGGGCGGACATGTATAAAACCGTAACCGCGCCATTACCTGTAAAAACAAAACGAGTATTCCCCACCCCATACCCGTTACCCGGTCAATGCGATTTTCCCCGTTTTGACCGAGCGGTTCGATGCGGGTATCCATCGGTTCGGTCACAATTGCCATCTCTATTCTTAATTAGCATTATCTTTGGAAAATGTTGTCCTTTTATTTGGAACGTAACATATATAGTACCTACTTTTATATTTTCACTATTAGATTAACTACCGTCACATTAATGCTTTAAAAGTTTTCAGCATTTTTTATTTAAAAGAGTTGTGATCGTTTTTAATGGTTACAATATATATAATATAATAAACCTTGGAGTATTTTGTGTATGTGTTAAGTTCAATGATATAGTTAAATGATAGTCTATTAGTACTTTCTTTGTAACAGTCGGTTAAGAGTATGAAATGAAATGTTGGATCAAAGAGCGTGTAATTCTAATCCAGATGTGGCTGATTATCATCGTACACGAAATGCTTTTAATAGTCAGAGTGCAGTTACTTGGTTCCCAATCAAATAGTGTTAAGACGTACGTAACCCCCAACAAATGTGCTACATTATATACCAAAAATTATTATTAAATTAAAATAAATTTTATTTATATAAACCAGTATCGTACCCGGGTGCGATGCACGGGATTAAAAAATATTTTATTTTTTAAATAATTAAATATTAATGTAAGACATTTATTTTAAGAGAACTCAATATATTTAGAAGTGATCATACTAAATGAATGTACAAAACTAAAGAGTACATTACAGAATTACAACACAAAAATAACGTAGTAGTATGGCATTAAATAAAATTAAAGAATACATGTTAATTTGTACTAAATAAATATACACTTTGGATTACTAATTGGAGTATAAATTAGTAACGTAGTAGTATATTTTGCAACTATATTAATCAGTACTCTCTCCGTCCCAAATTGTTTTGCAAAGTCAACATTTTTTGGTCCATCAATACTAAAAGTCAATCCTCTCTATCGATAATTAATTCAATTTTTAATAATTAAAATTTATATATTCAAAAATTACATTGAAATCTCTTCAAAGTTGCAAACTCCAAATTAGAATTTAATTTAAAATTGACATCCTAATTAAGCGAATAAAATTAAGTTGTTTGACCTAGTAGTAGTTTTTTAGTTTTTACTGTATTTTAAATAAAAATAGGCCATAACATATTACACGTAACTTAATACTCCGTATTTTATAACATCTTTTGATAAAAGACTTCTAAGTTGTTATTCTCAAAATAACAGTCTTTCGTTACATTTTTTTTTGTTTGGTTATGTTTATAAATAACCATAGTTGTTATGGGCATGCACTCAAATGACTAAACGTCTCAATTTAGATTCACATGTATAAGCATGTTTTAAATTCACAAATCTTCAAAAATATACTAAAGAGCTCTTCTTCAATTCAACAACTCTTGATGTTTATAAGTGGACGTAGTAGAAATTAAACATTTTAAAGGGATATTTCTTTCATAAAATTCTACTAAAGATGTCATATGATTAAACAGGATATTGAAAACACTGAGCACATGTGACAATAGAACTTCCAATGATTTAGAGATTGCATTCCTTAAAAACATTAAGTTTCTTGAATTCATTGCACTACAAAAAATAGAGGAAATAGCGACGGAGATAGCCACGGTATAACTTCAATTAACCGTTGGTACAAAATTCGCTGACGGCTTTCCAGCGGATAATTTCCGCCGAAATAGCGTGGTTGGTAAACCCAACGACGGACCCAAGCGACGGATTTCAAAAAGTACCTACAGATTAGAGATGGAAATATCCGCCGGGGATAGCGACGGAACAGACGGTCGCAAATTGGTATGTGTGGGTTTTTGAACGTGTACACGTGTCTCTCAATTACCAGTGGTTTTTTCCGTCGGTGATTTAAAAAAAATGATTATATTACCGACGGATTTTTCCGTCGGAAAAAGTCCGGCCATATTAAAATTATTTCATTGTTGCCGACGGCTTATTCTGTCGCTAGTTTTGAATTTGCAACCACAAATGCACCTACAGTGGGCATTATATCATTCTCCTTCTGATCCTAGCTCAAACATTTTCCAAATCAGACTATCATTTACAAACAACACCCTTTCCAGAATACCATTCACAAACAACTTTTGCACAATACCATTCACAACATCATTAAAAATCATACTGCGAACTTCCTTTTCACAAAAGTATTCATTCCAAAAAACTCATAATTGTATGCATTAGAGCTTAACAAAAACAAGTAATTTAAAAGTACAACATCCTACATAAACATCTCAAAACAAACAAAATGTCAAGGACGTAAAAAGAAATTGCACATAGTGAACAATTACAACAAGTCTTCATTGTTGTCCTTCACCTCATTATTAAACCCTCCCCTACCAAGTAAATTATCAATAAAAGTGTTATTGTCTTCTTCGGAGAGAGTATTATTTGTGTTGTGAAGAGGGACAAATGGGACAGCTGCAGGTTGCATAGATGGTTGACCCGCCATGAAATAATTTGGAAACACTTTAGGCGTAGGAAAGACAGATTGGCTTTGTTGAGGAAAAGTAGTTTGTGTTTGTTAGACAAACATGTAAGGCATCTCTTGTCCATTTCCAGGAGAAGGCTGACCATATGCAAACATTGGGAATGAATTCATAGATGAAGTCCTTGTATTACTCCCTTGCATTTTTATTTATTCCCGCAATAGCTTCATTTCTGCTTGACAACTCTCCACCTGCTCCGTGAGTTTATCAATGCGGTCTTGCTCAGAAGAGCGACAATGTGTCGGGTTCAAAGACCCAGTGCTCAACAAATGTGGGGCAAGAGAGCCCACTCCCATGAGCCTTCCCCGGTTCGGTTGCACAACTTTCAAAAACAGTGCATTCTTATCAATTATTGTGCCCGGCCCTTGTATATGTGTGATTTATGCTGCCCCAGCCTTAAGTTTTTCCTAATTATAATGTATAGAATATCAATCAAATATAACCTATCATATATGTTAGCAATTTGGAAGAATAAGAATAAAACAATCATCACAGGAAGAAAATTATTTTAAAAAATGGGATCTTTTTAAAATAGAGGAAGAGTATAGTTAAAACTCAAAACCAATTAATAATCAACGAGTGAAATATACAAATCATAACGGTTACCCTCAGACAAAAACAACCTTTTCAATCACTGGTATTCAGAAGCATAATTGCCATTTGAAACTAAATTCTTATCATCACTACAACAGATTTAAAAGAATTTAACCATTTAAAATAACATAAGGCTCATATTAAAAAATTCAACCATTTCGCATTTTTGCTTCATAGACAAATCTTAGAAGCGCGGATTATCAAATCATTGCCAAAATAATCTACAGATAATCTACAACGATCATCTGTTACTTTATATTTCTTTAAAAAACTCCAAATCTCCTGCCATTTCCACTATATACACAAGGCAAAAGGTGTAGTGCCTATTTATACATACAAAAGAAGATAACAATGCCAAATAAATGGCAAATAAGGAAATCAGCAGTAGAGCACTACGGAGATGCAGGTGAGACTGGTTTGAAATAGTCTTACTTTTTTATTGTGGGCCAGATATATTATTCTAACAATATATTGCCAAATA